CGATGGATGCAGTGCTCGAAGATCGATTGTTTGAGATTGTCGTTTGTGATAAAATGATTACAAAACGAGCTTGATTCTTGACTGATAGGCAAGAAAAGTTGAGCACGACCAATCTCCAAATCGAAAGAATTATACGAGGAGCTACGAATATAGCGGTGGGTTTCACCGACATATCGATCAACGAAAGGTTAGTTTTCAAGGAACAAGAAAAACGGGATCAAGAGTATAGAAGCGTGCGACACTTAGCGTATTGCAATTAGGCCGAGCCCGCGCCCATTTTAATTCGCAAACCAGTTTTCTACTCGCCACACACGCGCTCGCGCGCATAAGTGAACCATTTGAAAATTCTATTTCGCGAGGGCATTGAGGAAGCGCTGTTCGATCATGTAATCCCCTAAGCGGATATTTCTTCCATAATTTGACCACATTTCATAGAGGCACGGGAGTGGCCTGACCCCATTGTTATTTAACCTTACGAAAGAGATGTCATTGTTGCGCGTGCATTTTTCGACAATGGAAGTCGTTAAGTTATTTTTTTTTGTCATTTAACGATCGAAAATATCCATGTCGCAAATCGAATAAGGTCGCTGCACCGTTTTATCAAAAACAGCGAGTCGCTGGAAGTAAAAGAGAGAGAGAGAGAGAGAGAGAGAGAGAGAGAGAGAGAGAGAGAGAGAGAGAGAGAGAGAGAGAGAGAGAAGGCGAAGTTTCCTTGTATACACTTCCTTCGAAGTATGTCACGAAGCGCCGGCATCATCGAGAAAAGAGAGCTAATGAATCCGTTGACCGCGAGCTCCGGCGAGAGAGATGACGGATTTTCTGACGTGGTGATTTTGAAAAGAAGCAAACAAGTATTGCGCGTTTCAATCAAGCGGCAAACATCCGTGAAATTTTCCAAATGGCATTCCGCCATTGATCGATATTATCACACTTGGCAAAACGCTTTCCCACAGAAGGAGAGAGAGAGAGAGAGAAAGAAAGAGGAACCTGACAATCGACGATCACAGCATCACCATTCGGGCGTGGAAAAACAGAGAGTTATTTACGGGGAAAGGTGGTATAGTATCCGTTAGCTTATGAATGAGCGGCGAGCGAGCGAGCGAGAAAGAGAAAGAGAGGGGGGGGGGGGCGAAAATTGGCAGGCCGGAATTCGGGCTGGAGAGAGAGGAACGGTACTCTCGTACGACTCGCATGTGGAAATCCTCGCTTGGAATTTGCGCCGCCACGCCGTCGGCGATTATTATGGCCGAGTTTTAAGCAGATAAGACACCGAGTCGAGTCAGGTGTGTGCGACTTAAAGCTAACATTACCGGGGACGAGTTTTCAGGCTGCCTGCACGCTGCTTTTGGCAGTGCGTGTGTTTGGGTCTCTTGGCACATTTCATTTTTTCAACGACTGACTTGGCGGTCGACTTGTTTTTGGGTTTCGGGTATTTAGATGATTATTGAAAGATACCCTGATTTGATGGATCAGTGATTAATTTGATGTGCATTTATCGCAATGGCTGGATATGAAAATTTATACGAACAAGTGCCAACAAAAGAGAAATATCATCAGATACGACTATCGGAATCGCGCTATTCTCCACGCTTGTAGATCTGTTAACGACAGAGCTTATATGAAACTCGTGCACAATTGAGCGCGCAAGAAACCAACGACGCGCACAAAAGCAATTATCGCCGTCGATGTGTATATACAGAAAGCTGACCGCCTGACCTGAATGTCAAGTTTGGCAATTCTCCCCGTTCTCACGCGCCAATATCGCACACAGACGAAAAGCACGACCGATATGTTTCTTTTGTTTTTACGCAGCGATTATTAACTTTATTGTTTGTGCAGTTTTCATTCACGCGCTGGCTCACTTATTTTTTATTTACTTTTTTTTTCACGACACGGATGAATATTGATATTGCGTGGCGCACTTTTGACAGTCACGATGACAGCGTTACTTCAGAGTGGTTGTTTTTATCAAGCGGATAAACGTCTTGATTTTACAATCATACTGGCGTGTTCTTTTCTTTACATTTTTTATCGATTACGAAAAGGAAGGAATTTTAAGGATTGTTCTTTCAATGAGATGCATATAAAATCACCCGACAATCAATCATCTAATTGAAAGTTCTGCTTGGCTTGAATGGCAAGCTTAGCAAAGTATATTTATCTTGGTATCCGTTCGAAACAATTATTTTTGAAAGTTAGATGATTAAAATGCCACGTTAATTGCCAAGACACTCTAGTATGATTTCTCATCAAAACTTTGGTATTTTAATTAATCTAATTGCAAACGTTTTCTACTCGTGCAACATTTTCAGTCTAACGAAAAAAAAAAAAACTAGTTAATTTCAAAATATCAATTACCACGGTACGTACGCGTAAAAAGAACATCGCTGCTGCTTTATTATCGCAAAAAATTATTAACGTCGGAGGCTTGCAAAAGTCTCACGTGCGCGCTAAAAGTATTAGGATTACGCTTAATAAGCCCTTCTGTCGTACTTAGTTATAGCCGTGCTGGCGCATCTTCTTCCGCGTGCTAAATGTACTTGCGCGCCGCAGCGTAAGTCCTCTAATTCCGTGTACGTGCGGGAATCGCATCTGCGTATAATTGAGGAATGTCAGGCAATGGTAAGGTCGTTACATCGAGAAAGAGAAGCTCTCGAGCCAGTTGATTTTCGAGCTTCGACGAGTTTTGCACTCGTAAGTCGAGCAGACATGAATGCTTACAGTGGAGCGAGTTGCAAACCTAATTAAACACGCGGAGACATAAGCTACCCTAAAACGGTCTTCCTATGATTGTCGATGTTTCCTCGAGACTCCCATTCCCACGGGGTCGTGAGCCAAACGTAGCCGTCGCAGTCGTCGTGACTGACGGCTCACCGTACAGATCGCGACACTATAATACCCTCAACGCATAATCATCGTGCTCCCGACTGCCTTTTTTTTCTTCCTTGCGCGCTGATTGTTTTGCCGTGGTTGACCCTGAAAGCAAAATTACGGCTTTGTGCGCTTATTAACTGCGCGTTTTTTGCGAAGGCGCTTTGTCTGGCGAAGTAGAGGTTTGCTTTTGTTGAAAAACATACTCGTGAAGGGGTTCTTTTGGCCGTAGCAATCTGTAATTTGATGAATAAATTATCCCAAGATTTTAGTGGCTGCGACAAGGCAAACTGACGTTACACTTTTTACGCAGAAGTCGTGCTTGGGTGTGCCTGCCGTGTGTTAATTATTTTGCTGATCGATTGTCGAACTTGTTGTAAAAATGCGAATTGCATACAGACGAGTGTTGCGATGTTTAGTACCCGCTAACCGCGACGTTACGCAGACATTCCACTGCGCCTTCCGCTTCTATCAAAGAATCTCAGCGTGCGAAACATCCCTCCTCCTTTAGCAGATTATAATTTCAATGTTAACAGACAAGCATAAATAACGCATAGCGCTCTTCGCGTCCATGTACTATTACAAGAGACAAGAGAGGCAGAAGACGTTGGAAGCACTATTAACCATATAAACTCGCGCAGCTCGCACAACGGCGGCGTGAGAGCGACATTGAGCGACATCCTCGGTCAGGGACTCTCCGGCGTTTGTTGTGCATGGTCACGCGACGTGATTCTATCGTTTAAGGGAATATTATCACCTCGGCTCTTGTGTACACACGCGTGCTTGTGGTATCTTTATGTAACGTGTCGCATGCGGTCAAAGGCCTCTCTGATGAAGACCATACTAAACATTCTTCTTTTTGTGCCTTAGAAAGTCTCGCATCTTGCGTCTCGCGTGCGCGCGAGTAATTTTTGTTTGACGCGATGAATCTCTCTATCCCAAAGAGCGACGAGGACTCCGCTCGGAGGCGCAACCATGTCTGATTAGAGCTGTGGAACTTTGAGAAATGGAAATATCGGATTACGCGTGAAAGACGGATACTATATTGTACTAATTGTGAAATGTCCGACGCGATAGGCTAGAGCGTGTTGCTCTTTCTTCTATTGCTCGTGAACAAATGAAGTAGCGAAGCTAACGATGCGTGTGGGACCGTAAAAACTGCGACCTATATTTTGAACTCAAACATGCCTGATTGACATATTCCAAATATTGCTGCGTCTGTGATATGTGTTAAATAAAAATTTAAGAATCTACACGCGCACACACTTTACGTGCAACGGTGTCAATGATTTCCGATATATTTCTCTAACTTATTATCATTCATCAAAGACCCCGCGTAAAAGGTAAGTGGTAGAAAGTGGCCGTAAATTTTGCGATCCTCGGAGGATAAAACTTTTCAAATGGCTGGTACACACACACGCGCGCGCGCGCGCGCACACACACATAGACCCAGCGTACAAGATTCGAACTCTCGCCTGAATAACACGATCTCTGGTCGTAGCAGCTGCTGTATTTACGAACACATTCGCATTGGAAAAGCACTTTCGTCATAGAGGCAACAGTAGTGCAGGTCGCTCCGACATTTATACCTCTATACAGCATTCCATCCGCGTACCGCGTACGCACACGCGCGCGCGCGCGCGCGGAAAAAGCAGCTCGAATTGTCGAGAAAAAAAGGAAAAGAATTGGCAATGACGCAACTGACCCTGTCTGGGGGTCAAGGATTCGCCAAGCGGATCCTCGGACGCGCGCAGGTGCGTCTCTCGGAATAGTTGCCCTTTGTCGTGGCGTTAGAAAGTGAAAGCAGACGGGAAAAGGAAAGAAGGAAAGGGACGGAAAAGTGGCAGGGCACAGGCAGCCCGGCGGCTCGAGCCGCGGAGCTGGAAAAAAGCCCGCGCTAAATATGCAAATGAACGACGGCAAGTGGCTCGGTGCAAGGAACGTACAGAGGCGCGCGGCAGCCAAGGGGGCCTCTGGAACTCGCAATACGTGCCTGCGCGAGAAACAGGTAGGCAGGTGAGCGAGTGAGCGAGCGAGCGAGCCGCGTTCCTTCCACCTCTCTCGGGTTCGCCGTCGGTCGTCGGAGCGAGCGGCGTCGCGCGCGACTCAGTGAGGAGCGGAGCGTCTTGGCGTCGGCCACGTCATCGCGCTCTCGTCAACGCGCCGTGTGTGCGCCGCGCCGCAGCCGCGATATGCAGTGAAAGGAGCGGCGAGCTTTTTCTGGCCTGCTCTCCCCGACCGGCCCGCAGCATCTCGAGCAGCCAGCCTCCGCAGAGTGAGTGCGTCGGTGTGCCTATGTGAGAGTGAACGACCTCGCTGCCGCCGAACGACCGACGAGCGCACGGCCCAGAGATGCGGGGCTCCGGGCAGGAGTCGTCGACGCCGTACTGCCGCTGCCGCGTGCTCTACCTCGGCAGCTCGGTGCCGCACGCCAGCAAGGAGGGCCTGCTCGGCATCCAGGAGCCGCTGCGCGAGCTCTACCCGGAGCAGGGCGCCCTGGGGGCCCGCGGCATCGACTCCTGGCTGAGCGTCTGGAGCAACGGCCTGCTGCTGGAGAACGTGGACGAGCACCGCAAGAAGGTCACGCGCTTCTTCCCCATCGAGTCGCTGCACTACTGCGCGGCGGTGCGCCACGTCAAGGCCGGCCCGAGCAGCGACGCCACGGCCACGCGCTTCTTCCCGCTGGACTCGCCGTTCGCGCGCACGCCCAGCGCCAACCACCCGCCGCTCTTCGCCGCCGTGCTGCGGCGCACCACCGGCATCAAGGTGCTCGAGTGCCACGCCTTCATCTGCAAGCGCGACATGGCGGCCAACGCCCTGGTCCGCTGCTGCTTCCACGCCTACGCCGACAGCCGCTTCGCCAGGGGCCTCGAGCCCGGCTGCAACGGCAGCGGCAACGGCGGCGCCGCTACGCCCACCAACGGCCACCAGCAGCTCAGCAACGGCCAGAGCAACGGCCAGAGCAACGGCCACCACCAGCCCCAGTCGGCCGGCAGCCTGTACCACACGCTCGGCGGCTCGAGCACCACGCTGGCGGACAACAACGGCGGCTCGCCGGTCTCCAAGCTGGAGACCGGCTCCAACGACGACGACTCGAGCAGCCTCTACAACGGCGACGAGAACCACAAGGTCTGGGCGCGCGGCCGCGACGAGATCGACGGGCTGTACCAGGAACAGGGCACGCTGCGCAGCACCAAGGGCTCACGGCCGCGGCAGCTGATCGCGCCGCCGCCGCCGCCGCCGCCGCCGCCGCCCGCGCAGCCGCTGCTCGTGCCCGAGGAGACGCCCTCGCGCAAGAAGGCCGCCAAGAAGCTCAAGAAGATCAAGAGCCGCAGCGACGAGCCGCACCACTTCGCGGCGCAGCAGCTCGTGTACGCCAACGGCCACCACCACACGCTGGGCCACCCGCCGGCGAGGCCGCCCCCGCCGCACGGCTACCCGCACCCGCCGAGGTCGGTCGCCGGCACCCTGGCGCGGCCGGCACCGGTGCTGCTCGTGCCCGCGGCCACGCTACCGCGCAAGGCGCACCACCACCCGCGGGGCATCAGGCCGATCCCGGCCGCCGCGCCGATCGTGCCGATATACGCGCCCCTGCCGCCGCCGCCGCCGCCCTCCACCGTCTACTACGGCACCACCGGCAACCGCGGCCGCCGTCACCACCAAGACCCGGCCCTGGACTCGTCCACTCTGGGCATGCACTCGCGGCGAATGGCGGCCTCGCACGTCGACCTCACGGCCGCCGAGCAGCCGCGCAACTCCGACAGCCCGGACAACGAGTCGCGCTTCGGCACGGGCATCTATCGGCGCAAGGGCCACCTCAACGAGCGCGCCTTCTCGTACAGCATTCGCGCCGAGCACCGCAGCCGTAGCCACGGCAGCTTGGCGTCGCTCGGCTTTCAAAATGGTGGTCCAGCGGTCAGCAAGGAGGAGGCCAAGAAAGATCGCGAGATCGCCCAGATGGTCGCTGGTCTGAGCATCGATGACGCAGCTGCGGCGCAGCATATCATGAAGAACGGCAATGGTCACGCCATCTACCATCACCAGCAGCCCTTACCCAGGCCGAGGCGCTAACGGTGCAGCAGCAGCAGCACCAGTACCAGCAACCCACAGAAAGAGCAACGATGGAATGCTTATATAGGCACTCTCGCGCGCCTTCTCTTCCCCCCCCCTCTCTTTCTCGGGGATAACGGCTTCGTTCGCAAGTGTACGTGTATTGTGTGTGTGTGTGTGTGTGTGTCTGAGAGAGCTGACTCTGTGGATGGATGTTTGGAGAACCGATATTTGTCTATTTTTTTATTTTTTTTTTATTTTTACTGTGTCGTTAAGCTAATTCTCCCATACTCGAACCAATGTTCCCGGGCTGATATCGAAAAACGAATTTGAAAACTGCAATCCTGTACTTACTTCGAAGACCTGCGTCTCTAGACGAGACGATAATCCGAAAATGCAAAATAGTCTTGTAAACGCATTTATAATGTACGCATACTTTTACTTTCAAGTAACTATTTAGATGAAAAATCGAGCGAGCAATGACTGAGACGCCGTGTATTGTTTTTTTGTTAGTGTTCTCCTATAGATCGGCGTTGCGAAAGAGAGAAAGGTGAATCTCCTCGCTCGGCTTACCGATAATAGTGCGAAATAATTGAAGTGACGTAAGCCTTCTTCGCCGCGCAGCGCGTCTCGATAATCTCGGCGTCTAGCGTGCCAGTTTTTTTTTTTTTTTTTTTTTTGAAGTGTGTATACAAAGTGCATTTAAGATGTAAGTGCGTGCGAACAGTATTCAAAGCTCAATGTGTCCCGCGCAAGGCCATATATATATACATATATATACATATATATTAAAATGACGTTTTAGAAAGGAGCGACTTTCGAATCATGCGCGCGGTCGCGAGATATTTCTCCCTTTTTTGTGTTTACACATGTATTTTGCACAAAGAAAAAACAAATATTACGCGGAAAAAATTCAATGGGAAACCCTGAAATGTGCCATTCGGACGTTTCGAATAGACTCCAACGAAAGATTTTTTTCTTGTTTTAGATTGTTAAGAACGTGTTTTTTCTCTTTTTATTGCATTTTTCATGTTTAAGGAATATTATACTTGCGTTTTGTATAGCCAAAATCAAGACAACTTATAATTTTAGCGAACGTTGATATTGAACGTTGATGCCAATGAGATTGGAAAGATATAGAGAAAACATATGTTGTTTTTATTTTCTCGTTACGAGTAGTATCTCATACCCGTGACTAATCTTTTTCTTCGTTAGATTAACAAAGGTATATCCCCAGTTTGTAGACTTTAAAGCGAATTTCAAAAGAACGATACTAGTTATTCCTTGGCAATGAAAAATATCGTTATCGAGTTATCGAATCATACGCGAACGAGTCCTCTTTATTAATATAATATACTTCTTTTTCTCGCCTACCTTTATTACGATGATTTCCTGTTTATATATGTATCTCTCTCACTTTTGTATTGATTTGCGGTGAGGCTTGACTGATGAGTCGCGTGCCGAGAATCAAAAATGAGATGAGAAAAAACCGCAACGTATGTGCCTGCAATTTCATGTCCTTTTGCCCTTATTCCCCCTTGTTCTTTGCATGTGTTAGCGAAACGCTTGTATATTTAATTAAATAAAATTAAAATAATGAAACCATGTTACGACAAAAAAATATAAATACTGAATATAAAGTGAAAGTATATATGTTATACATACGTAGCTCTTGTCGTGTCAAAGCTCATGCAAAGACAATCTATACATGTGAATATACTGTAAAGGTCTTTGTGAAAGCAATAAATATGATATATGTACATAAGCAACTAACATGTGACTTGAATTATTTATTATTCTTTTATCCAAGCTTATTTTGATTGCAGGTTGATATTACTAATTTATTCAATCACAAGAAATGTGAAGTCATTAAATGAGATCAATAAGACTCTCATCATTAATATTAAGACTACAAAATAATCCTGCTTAGAATTCGAATGCATTGTAAAATTCAAATGAGCAATTGTTTCGCCTCTAATAAAAATTAAAATATAATTTTTGATACAATTAATTTCCATCTACGAGAAAATCAAATTTTCGCGTGTAATAACACGTATAAAAATGCAAGTTATTAACTATTATTCAAGGTTAGTTCATTAATAATTTATAATGATAAAAAGTTCCCTCGTTTTTTTTCTCACGTATTATATGGTGATTTTTATAGTCATTGTTATCGGAAATTTGTTTCCTGAATACATTATCTCAGTGAATCTTCTTTATTCAGATAACGTTATTTCAATTCTGTAAATTCAAAAGTAATGCGCAGTAATTCATAATTCTTACTTAACTCACTTTCTTCTTTTGCTCGAGTATATTAAAAAGTTACGATTCCAATAGTTGAAATGAGTAATATTACACCAACACCTGTGGAAATGCAACAAACTTACAGTATCATATTCTTCCATAAGATGATGTAATTTATCTAGACTGGCCGAGCATTAATATGCAATTATCTTGACATTTTTCGCTCTTTATCGACCGCAAATAATTGCCGAAAATTTTTCGGAGGGACTAATTAGTAACGTAATTATTTTTGACTTATTTTCAAGTCATAAGTGGGTAAAACTTTTAAGACGTTGAAATTACGAGAAAAATATGTGACTCTTTTCTCGTAATTGCTTTTGAAAATCACGTGGAAAGAATATTTAAGAATTTAAATGACACGCCTTTTGCTAAAGTTTCGCCAGGCGCTATAAACTTACACAACACGCTGGGGTTTCTATTGCATTGAATCAATAACTATTTTTAGTATTAGCGACTCAACCGATCAGCTGACCTACTCTTTAGTTGAATAGTGTTACTTAGTGGTTTTTTAGTATTAAAGCACTAATTGGATTTTCCTTATATGTTACATTCCACAGTTTTTGGTATAATTTAATCATCAAGAGTTATTTCGATATTTCAATGTTAATAAGATTACGTATAACAATATTATTTTAAAAATACTTGTTAAATTTTTGTTTCCGTCATTGACATCTGCGTTCGCGAAATGATCGAAAACATTTTTTTATCTACACTCTGAAAATATAGTAAAAATCGTTTTCAATTTTAGGACTCTGCGTCATTCGCTCAACTGCGGCAAAACTTGATTTCCGACAAATTGAAATAAAAAAATTATGTTCTTAACGAGTCGCTCGAACTTTGCAATGGAACTCGTTATTCGCATTGTTTTTCTGTGCGACCACGACGGTTTATTATCCAGGCAACGTTCGTACTCGGTACCAGCGCAATTTTCCGCGGCTCGTTATCGATGGAAAAAAGTATATAGTGAACAATTTCGTCGTCACAGCCGATGACTTCAACAATGAGGCTCAAGGTTGCATATCTATGACCGTAACATTTAGCGCTTTCTCTCCTAAGGAACTCCTAATTTTTATCTTTCCAATAGAAACGTAAACCGATAATGTTGCCTCATTTACATCATACTTTTATCGGGTTTCCTAGGCAGCTATACTTTCTAACACCCAACACCAATGAGTAATTGATTTTTCAAATTTGTGATCCAGAAAACGAGCTGCTTCATTGACGTAGTTGCGTATATTTTTTTCGGTCTCTAATGTCTTTTGCTTTCCAAGTTAGACTGTCATTTTGATTGTGTGCTAACGCCTAAGGCGTGAACTGGATCTTTTCTTTGACTGAATTGATCAATATTCTATGCAAGAAAGAATGGATTGAAAGGAGTGCTTCTTTTGTCACACTAGACTCTGTTTACTCAAATACATAAGTTCTCGGATTTTAAAAACAGCAGTATCGTTCTTTGAAAATTAAATTTCACCAATGATTTTTGAATGTTTGGAAAAATTTGAGCCAACGTTATGTCTGCTCCCAAAAAAGAATTTATTGCCTTTAAGTTGTCTAACACAACGTTTTCTTTACGAATAACGTCACTTTCTTTTTAAGCTTCAAATATAAACCCAAAGTGAGCATTAAAATTTGCCACATGTATTTACCATTCGGTAGAAAACCGGTCATTAGCTTAAGTTTCAAAGCGCAGAGCCCTTAAAAATTTTCCTTGATACGTTACAGTGAAAATCTCCCAAAATACGTCGAGAGGAACGACAGTTTCGAGTGACAAAATCATGTTCATTAAGCTCAGCACAAACTTGATCGCGATGAAAATAGTGAAACTCATGTAAACCGTTGTAGTTATGTGCGAGCGCGACATTAGTTGCGAGTAAAAAAAAATCGCGAGTACGTGCTATTAACAAAGTCGCAGCTCCCGTTATATTTGCATATCATATATGTGTTTACAGATGAATGTAATACACATGTACAAGGGAACGTCTGGTTTCACGGTCACGCTTTGCCGAAAAATTAGGTCGTACGCTTCTTTCGAACGAGTCAATTAAAGGCCAATCAGCGAACAACGTTGAATTGTAGATTTGGTAAGATTCGTTTTTCGTTCGTTCAGTCGTAGACGCGATGAAAAGTGCAATTTCGTAGGCAGTGCGCGATTATCACAGATCGCAGGGCTCGCGAAGTGAAATTGGACTCCCCGCGAGAGTCTCGCGGCCGGTAAAGTTTTCGTGCTGCCGCAGTTGTATAACAACCCGGCGATAAAAGACGATTTTTCCTTTCGACGAGCGCTACTTTTAGGACTCGTAAGAGCTAGTGAAATGGATACAATTTAGCTGGATTTCGCTTTGCATGCCGAGCCGGCACTACGATAAATGTCTAGCGCACTTTTACTTTTCGGCAATTTAAGCCCGGGTCAATTGCACCGTTTAACAAGTTGTAAGTGCATGCGTTCAACTGACTGTTGCAATTTGATATGCAAGCTGTATTGTTGAAATTGGCATTTTTTTAAATTATTAAAAAATCTCGGTCAACATATTGAATAAAGGACAATTTACGTCTTCAACTTTGCTCAGTATTTCTGTTATTATGTGTTTTTTTGCAATAAAGACCTGTAATCAATTTTTATCGATTCAGTCTGACAGCACTAATCACCATTAGTCGATTATCTCATAATCTAAGTTCTAGTTTAAACCGAAAACGCAATTCTACGTCTATTCAACGAATTATTTTCCAAATCAAGCAGAGCTAGTGTCTGATTTGAATAGAGCATATTTAGTAAATTTTGATGCTTCAATGTTTTTCAAATCTTCCGGTTCACTTACTCATATCGCATGACGTTAATGATTTGAAACGTAGAATTACTTTCAATGTGTAAAAACAATATTAATCTTGGAAACCGAAATATTCATTGTTTTTCAAATGAAATTGACAAACTGTTAACCGTATGGTGGTAGAAGTGAAGTAATTTTCTATAATTATTGCAATTCAATACATTTATATTTGTAAATTTGGACAAATATATTTGCAAGACTTTGTTGTCATAAATTCACGGAAATCGTACGTATCCACTTGTAAGCACAAGACGCGTGATTTATACCTTGAATTCGAGTTCAGTGTCAAGAGTACAAAGAAATTAACAACACGCTGGCGCGCACAAGTTGAAATTGCGTCAGAAGCGACAGTAGTTCCCTGGCTGATTCCGATAAGACGTTCCTTTTCGAGCGAAACAGACTGTGTAATTAACGTTATGTTGTATTTACACAGAGTCGACAACGCGGCCTATGTAATTTTTAAACACGGGAGGGCAGAAAATCACTATGACTCTAATGACTTTCCACAACCACCTTACAATCGAAAGATCTACCGAGGAGCCACATTTGCGGGAGTTTCGCTTAATGAACTTCACGCGAACATAGATCAAACGTGATTTTCAAAGCAACACTGTGACTGCAAAAAAATTGCACACGCTGCTTGAGCATTATTATTTGGACGATGCACCACGGATATTAACCGTAGAGTGTGTTGTGTATGATTGTTCATTGTTGGTGTTATGACTGCTATTGTTGAGAAGAAATTTTTTATTTCATTCTTATTTGATAATTATCGATGGCAATTGAGTAATTCGTCGCTATTTCAAGTCGTTAATTTTGGTTTTTGGCATTGTAGTTCGGGCTCATTATTATTGATTAGAGGCAACGTAAATCGATATACGATTCATAATGAATCGATATTTGTAATGGATTTCATTATCGTTGAAAGGGCACGACAAACTTTTACCATAGATGACAAAGTATGATAATCAAAAACACTTTGCGATGAATAATGCTCTGTTTTTTCACGGGTAGTAATACGAACAATAATAAAGAAAAAACAGAATGTGCAACGTCCATAAAATATCATCACGTAAACTGTCTACCAAGTTGTAATATTTATACATTCACCAATCGGATAAACTTACGTAAATGATAATTTTAAGAAATCACACCGCTTTCAATTGTCAATCGCGAACGGCCCAATCAAACAGACACCAACGCGAACAAAAATTGCCTGTACTCTCCATTGAGTTAACACCTCTTTTAAGCGCGCACCAAAGAATAAAAGACAAAAAGAACAACGCGCGAACCTTTAATCTCGGCAAAGTGCGCGACTCGTAACAGGTGCTCGGTTGACTTCCGCCTTTAGGCTCCTAAGGTAACGCGCAACACCTGGCGTTCGTTTTACTATAGTGTGCAGCTGCCTAACATGCATATGCCGTTTTCGCTTTTATTTCTTTTTTTTTTCTTTTTTAATTGCGTAGTTTTATTGTCACGACGGTCACTGAACTCGATGAGTTCTTGAATGTTTGATGTATATGTGCGTAACGGTGGTGCACTCACTGCCGTTTGTCGATTCAGCAGATTGCGCGCATCTTTTGCAAAAATTTGAATACAGCTACGCTATTCGAGATGGTGAGTTTGCATAAAAAATAAAGGATTGATAATGTGAAAAAATCAGCAAATATTTGAAGGCGATGGTCTCGT